TACAAGTAAAGATCAGCTAAGTACTGGGGGACAAGTACAGATCAGCTAAGTACTGGGGGACAAATAAAGATCAGCTCAGTACTGGGGGACAAGTAAAGAGCAGCTAAGTATTGGGGAACAAGTACAGATCAGTTTAGTACTGGGGGACAAGTAAAGATCCGCCAGGTACTGGGGGACAAATAAAGATCAGCTTGGTATTGGAGAACAAATAAAGATCAGCCCAGTACTGGGGGACAAATAAAGATCAGCCTGCTACTGGGGGACAAATAAAGATCAGCCCAGTACTGGGGGACGAATAAAGATCAGCCTAGTACTGGGGGACAAATAGAGATCAGCCTAGTACTGGGGGACAAATAAAGATCAGCCTAGTACTGGAGGACAAATAGAGATCAGCCTAGTACTGGGGGACAAATAAAGATCAGCCTGCTACTGGGGGACAAATAAAGATCAGCCTAGTACTGGGGNAGTACTGGGGAACAAACAAAGATCAGCCTAGTACTGGGAAACAAATAAAGATCAGCTTGGTACTGGGGGACAAATAGAGATCAGCCTAGTTCTGGGGGGCGAATAAAGATCAGCTAAGTACTGGGGGACAAGTAAAGATCAGCTAAGTATTGGGGAACAAGTCAAGATCAGTTTAGTACTGGGGGACAAGTAAAGATCAGCTAAGTACTGGGGGACAAATAAAGATCAGCTTGGTATTGGAGAACAAATAAAGATCAGCCCAGTACTGGGGGACAAATAAAGATCAGCCTGCTACTGGGGGACAAATAAAGATCAGCCCAGTACTGGGGGACGAATAAAGATCAGCCTAGTACTGGGGGACAAATAGAGATCAGCCTAGTACTGGGGGACAAATAAAGATTAGCTTAGTACATGGGGACAAATAAAGATCAGCCTAGTACTGGGGATCAAACAAAGATCAGCCTAGTACTGGGAAACAAATAAAGATCAGCTTGGTACTGGGGGACAAATAGAGATCAGCCTAGTTCCGGGGGTCGAATAAAGATCAGCCTAGTACTGGGGGACAAATAGAGATCAGCCCAGTGCTGGGGGACAAATAAAGATCAGCCTAGTACTGGGGGACAAATAGAGATCAGCTTAGTACTTGGGGACAAATAAAGATCAGCCTAGTACTGGGGGACAAATAAAGATCAGCCTAGTACTTGGGGACAAATAAAGATCAGCCTTCTTTTTTCAAACACAGACAAATCGTCACAATAATTCTTTTACAAAAGTAATGCCTCATGATTTACATGAATTTTGTCAACACACGTTGAGGCATATTTCACTAACATGGACTTACCAAATATCAGTCTTTTCTCTGCAATTGTCTAAATTTTGCTATTAATACATAGGACTTCACACCAAGACATGTGATTCCGACACCAGCCACCAATACTTACATATATTCCCAGAGCACGTTCGAAGCTGGTGATGGCATCTTTGTAAAGTTTGGCCTTCATCTGTGTTTTTCCTAGCAGCATAAACAGTGATCCTACAGGTTTGGAGCGGGTCGCTACATTGAGGGCTTCTATAGCCTGAAATACACACCAAAATGGCTTATTGCTGCTACCCTTGTACTGGGTTCTTTTGTTGTAGTGTAGGGTGGATAGGTTAGTGTTTGTCTGTAAAAATTGGAAATACCTGTTCACTTAGGAAGCTTCTATTAGAATAAGAAAATCGCTGTGTCAGCACTAACATCTACGCATATTTGTGAGTGTACCCTTTTACCTTTTTTGAATTGCATACAACAGTATTGTCCGATACTTGCAGAAAAGGTTTGTTGATGACCAGTACATTTTACAAATTATACAATGTGCGTCAACAGGTCTGTAATATTTTTACAATAATCATATATTTGTGAATAGTCCTAATTTGCATAAAAAAGACCAGTAAAACTAAACTTGCAGCTATTTTCGAGAAATTCCCAAAAATAACCTTCATAAAAATATCCCAATTTATGGTATATTATCTCAAAGTTTAGTTTAAATATCAAACTAAATAACATTTTCAAACTTTGCTTTGCTTTATATTTGTTCATCAAAAGTTAAATCTAGATATTCATATCCAGCTTAACAAAATTCTTAACAAATATCAAGGTATTCATGTTGAATTCTGCATGAGAATTCTTGTCTGTCTTCCCAAAGTTTTTCTTGAATATCTATGAATTGAGGATGTCTTGCCATAGTTCTCTATGAATATTCATGTATGTTTTCCCATTGCTTTCATGAATATTCATGTCTACTGTACAAGCATTTATGTCCAATTTGCCATAATTACCCCTGTATATTCATATCAATGTTGCCTTGCTAGTTTTTCATGTGTATTCATTGTTACCTTGCCATAATTCTTGAGGAAAGTCTGTACAACAGCCTGTTGTGTTGGCATCTGTCCCAGGGCGGAGTCTTGGGTACCAATGTCAGAGGCATGTCTGTAAAAATCAGCCAAAAAGTTAAAATTAAAAATAATTAACAATTTACTTAATTATATAAACAAACAGTAGTTTTATAGAAAACTTTTGTTCTACTTCAAGTTCGTTTTCAACGTTATAGATATCCAAGTACAAAACATCATGTAATTTTTTAATTATACAATATAATGCATACAATGAGAAAATCTAGCCACTTTAATTACCAGCCAAAGTGTCTGATATGGCAGGGGATAGATAAATGATGACCCTCAACATAAACATAAGATGGTCAGTGAGACAACGAGATAAGTGGAGACTGACGTAACGCCACTGTATATAAAACCTATAGTGTTATACATAACATATCTATCCTGAAACAAGAGGCCCATGGGCCTAAACGGTCACCTGAGTCTACAGTATTTATTTTTGTTGTTGAAATATGTACCAATTTGAGTAAAATAGTATAATGTTAACTTAACTTTGTCAGGACCATGAGCTGATCATTCCTAGACCAATTTTAAGTGAGATCGGCCTATTAGAACTTAGTAGCAAAATAGCGGCCATGGCAGCCAAATTGTATTTCTGATTGACCCGAAAAATAACAACACTTTGTCAGGACCATGATTCGATCATTCCTACAAAGTTTCAGTTCAATCGGCCAAGTAGA